GCTAAGCATACAGTTTCAATTAAGTTGAGAAATTTAATTGGGATCTTTGGCAACCACATTAATAAATCTTTATAATGCAAATGGAAGCTGAAGGAAAAATCTTCTAAATCACACTGCTGCTTAATTAGGTTTGGTTCAGTTACATTTCATTAACTTTTATAGAGAACTAGAGGCCCAGTGCACAAAATTTGTGCAATAGGGATGTCTGACTGCCCATTTAGTCCCTCTCACAATCCAGGACTGCTGGCTCCCAACTGTTTGCCTGCCTGCCTGCCTAATTGCCCCTAACCATTTCTGCCTGCCAGTCTGATCACCCACTAACTACTCCCCTGCCAGCCTGATCGATATCTAACAGCTCCCCTGCTGGCCCAATTACCCCCCACTGGCCTGGTCACCCCTAACTGCCCTCCCCTGCAGGCTTGGTTTCTCCCAACTGCCCTCCCTTGCGGGCCTAATCATTCACAACTGCCAATCCCTGCTGGCCATCTTGTGGCGGCCATCTTGTATCCATATGGGGGTGGCCAGCTTGTGTGTTAGAATGATGGTCAATTTGCATATTACCTCTTTATTATATAGGATACCCATGACATGCTTAAAAGCACACAAAAAAATTAAAGCACAAAAGATCAGAGGGCACCAATTGATAGAAAGCTACCCACAATGGACCACCGAGAATAATGCATATGGAAATCACAAGGAATTCCAACAAATACTGAATATAGAACATGCAAGGACACAACAAACATTCCATGGAAAGACATCTATTGATTTTAAAGTCTTGCTTTTGAGAATCCTTTTTTTCCCCCATTATGACAGTACCTCCAGACTATTTGACTTGTGCATTCAACCTCTTCCAATAGCCAACATTTATTTCCTAGTTATTTTATGGCATATGTAATTTTTCCCCTGTTCTTTTGAGGACCACAGAATAGGACACCTTTGGAAGGAGTACACATGAAAGCCACAGTGTGAATTGTGGTGACAGTCTACATACAAGTAGCCCATGGTATGTAGATCAGCAGCCTGCCATAGTCATATAGTAACTGTGATCATGAAATATAGTCACATCAGTTGGGGAGGCAAGCAGGAATGAAATCAAGCACATCGGGTTGCAGTAGTTCTATTTTAGTTCACTTAGTGTCATCACCAGTGGTCACCTGAGATCTATAGATGCAAAGTGATGTTGTGTCTACAAAGCAGGAGAGCTACTTAGTTTGCTCCAGTAGAGGAACAGGGAAGTGCCAGAGTTCATCAGCAGTGGGAATCAGGGCAGGTATTTATTCCCTCACCACACACTGCCTTACTGACCCAACCAGGTGACCCCAGAGGTTGACTCCCTCAGTCCATTCTTTTGTCTAGCCTTGTTTTGACCTTGAAATAAAATATTGCTTCCCCTTTGGATCTATACTATGTTCAAATACTCTGATTTGACTGTCTCTTTGGCCAACACACTTTGCTCCTGTGTTTCCTCTGGAACAAAGCTAACATTGCTCATTGCCTTCCTGGATATCAACTGTGTTTATTTGGCCTTTCTAGTTCATTGACCACATCCTGTAGGTCAGATAGGCCCTGGGATTGAGCGATATTCAATACTATGTAGACTGGAGCCTGCCAAAATCAGAAAATAAGGTAGAGCCCAGCATACAGCTAAGTAACAGAGTTGTATATTATTTTAATGACTTTGGAGGGAAAAACAAATACTGATTGTGATCATATGGGCTGACGTCCAATTCCCTTACTATAGCTTCTCTGAATCAGTCAAGAATGGAAAGTTGGCCCTTTGCACCAACTTGTTTTTGACACATAGTAGATCACTTTGGGTGTTTTCCAGCCAGCTTGGAAGACCTGTGGCTCCACCAAGCAATGGGCTAAGGGTGTGGACCATGAGAATTGCCGAATGGTTCATGGGTGGCATCACCGAGGATCAGACAGCACCAGTTGGCTTAATTTCTGCAGTTGACTTTGAATAAAAAAACAAACAAACAAAACAAAAAAAAAAAACACTCAATAACTCTGAGCTTGTTTCTTCCATTAGAGAATGTATGAAGTTAGACTAACTGGCTTCCCAAATTTGATGGCTCTACCCCCCTCTGAACTAGCATGCTAGTTCTGCTTTTCCAGAAAGCAAATTTTATTTAATCTTTGCATGTTATTAGAAGGGTTCAGATAAAACACTGGAATAGAATTCTTAGGTATCTTGGGCTGTGAGGTTGGACTGCATCCTGCAGATCTATAGATAGGGTCCCTGCAGGTGAGAAGTGGCAAGAAGCTGCCCAGTTCTCCCTCCAGGGCCAGTGGACAAAGATCAAGCCCTCTACACAGATGACTTCAGCCCCTCCCACCCCATTTCTACACCAGTCCTTCCCTCTTGCCTAGCTGTAGCTGAAGCCTAACTTACTCTGTGAAAGCTTCCCTGGTTATCAATTAGAAATCCTCTGCTTGCACAGTGTCAATCCTGCAGTTAGCATTTAGTCTCCACTCACTCGTTGCTGGTTCCTGTGTGTTTTTCTTGTCTTATGAGTACATACCTGGAAGGAGACATGTATTACACTTTTGTATTCCCTATATCTGAAGTTTGGTTCATTGACTTGAAGTAGGGGTTTGGAGACAGAAAGTCAGCATATGATGACAAGGTATAACTGTAATGAATTGTTGTAATCGTTCAATCTGAGCCTTTATCTAAGTGTGTTCTAATGAAAGCCTGTTGTAATGTAAATTTCCCAACACCGGTGTAAAGTGTATATGACTATTTTGGGTTTCTCAAGCTCCTTCCCTCATTGTGTAGCCAATTCTCACATCAACTTTGCAGGAGTTTACAGCAGAGGGAACTGAGGCCAAGCAAGTAAAGTGACCATTTGACTTCCTATCTCCTCAAGGTTGGCATCTCCTGAAACAATATGCACAAATTCTTCCACAAGCTAATAGACAGCCCTGAGGTGACCCAGCTTTGGACAGATAGAAATATCTCCAAATAATGCATATGGTTCCTAAAGGAAGTCACCTTTAATTTTACATTAAAGAGGAAACTATCTGGAAAGAAATGAACTCAGATGCTTCCCTGAAAACCTTTTTCTGTCCTAGCTCTTTAATGTCTACAGTGTGGTTCAATTACAATGAATAACTAAGGGTCCCAAACCACCCGCTAAATGTCAGGTTTCCAGAATGGAGAATTCCTCTGTGGAGGATCAGATGAATGAACACTTAAAGTGCATTGTCATCGAATTTCGTGACTATTGTTACTTGGAGGGAACTTGAGCAGGAGGTCAGGCATTCTCAATACACTGCTGTTTTGGCCGAACAGAGCTCCATGTGTTTAGGGAGCACATAAAAATGTGGTAAAAAAAACAACAAAAACAAAAACAAACAGCAATAAACGGAAGATTTGGTGAGTGGCCAATTGTGTTGAGAGGACTTCATTCCTGTCCTGTGAAGCGAGGTTAGATTTCTGACAATTTTGGACAATGCAGGCAGTTCCCTGAGTAGCCAAGACTGGCTGAAGAATGATTTCTCTTCTCTCAGAGTGGTTAAATATAATTGGCAACACCCAAGTTTGGCCAAATCATCCCTTTATGTGCCAGTTTCTAGCTATCTCCCTCATTGCTTCTGTGGACCATTTTAATCCTTTTGCAAAGACTCCGGGTTCCTATAACCCATCTCCTATCTCTCACTGCAGATGGCTGTTGTGCTATGTGTGGTTTTTGAAATATTAAAATAGTTCAGATAGATTAAATATTTGAAATAGAAGCGCGGCCCACAATGACTGGATTCTTGAGGCAGTGTGTCAGGTATGCATGATTTTATTTCAAATGTGTCCAGTAAGATTTTTCCACTTGGGGTGAATATTTTTCCTCTTCCTGTGTATGATTATAAACAGTATTTCTTCATCTCATGGAATTCCTTAGAAGGTTCTAAGTAACTTAACAGAGGACAGAAATGAAACTGTGGGGAGATTAAATAACAGGAAGTTTATATCACAGCGGGGTGCTCATGCACCCCAGCCTCAGGAGGGGGACACACAAGTGACTACAGGGTGAAGAATTAAACCCGGTCATGCAAGTCGTCGTACGATCACTTGGTATCCTTTGGCAGTTCTGGCATTCCCTGTCACTAGCACACATGATAAAATGAGTCTGATGACTTCCGTGGGTGGAAAACTGTCTTTCGTTTTTTGGTGGTGGGTTGACCAGCAGAGAGAAGACAGAAACAGAAGCCAGCTGTCGGAGGATCGTCTCAGGATATCGGAAGAGACTGTTCCCAGGCCCCCACCCTTTGCTCTGAGCCCCAGGGAGTGTACACCTGGCGTCTGCAAGGTTGTGTGCCCTGTTTAGACTATACAGCCCTGCCTGTCACCTAAGGGCGCTGGCTTCTCTGTGGCCACCACCCCACCAGCACAGAGCACACATCTGAACCAAGAAAGAGGGCAGTTATGTGAAATCACTAGAACCTGGCGATATTAAACTTTTGTTTTCATGAGCCAAAGGTCATAGCACGAATGAGGTCTACATGTTGTCACAGGGGGCCATGGAAAGACACATCTTTAAGTGACGCTGCCCTGCCAGGGAGAGAGACAGAGGTGGAGGGCACAGCGAGCATGGACCGGCGGTGCAGGGCACTCCTGGGGAATATGAGTGGCGCCACGGACACGAAAATGGGTCAAACCGCGGGCGTCAAGTTTCCTGCCTGCTCTTTGGAGCTGCTGTTATGGAAAGAAGCTAAGGGCACTGGGACCAGGTGGAGGGGCAGGTGGGCTGGGAAATGTCACCAGCTCAACATTTGTTCTAAAGTGACTTAGAGATGATCATTCATTTATGATCGAAACTTAATCCCGAACAGCTTTCTCTTCCCTCTTTCTCTCTGTAAACACATCTGTTCATAAATAACTTAAATGTCTCCTTGGCATTCAGGATTCAGTTCCGCTGGAGTAAAAAAGGATGGAGGATGCTCAGCGTGGAGGAGGAGATGGCGGGTGTCTTGAGTGTGGGGAGGCCTCGCTGCAAACATCAGCCATCGGAGACAGGTGGGGTGACCCAGCCGTACTTTTCATGTGTCTTCACCAAACTCTTAAAGGTGGCTTCCGCTTCCTTGCGACTGAAGGACTTTTTTGACTTGCCCGCCTTTCTACAGATGCGCCCCTGTGTGAGAGGGAAGAGAAACCAGGTTAGAACCCCGGCAGGAAACCTGTTTTTACCACCATCTTTGTTAAAACCGGCCAAGTTGTGGTCCTTCCTAATGCCTGAATTGGTGAGATGCAAGGAGAGATATGGAGCATTACAGCTTTGGTACAAGGTGGATGGAGGGGTCCAGTGGCTGGCAAGCTTCTGGGGCAGGGGAGAGGCAGGGGGCTGCTGTCTTCACAAGCCCCGGCACTGGCTTCTTCCACAGATGCTCCTCCCAAGACACCGGAAAGCATCCTCCACCAGTTCCTGAGCCGGAGGGCCAGCTTTATTCAAGCGCACCCCTGCAGGACCCAGCATGCCCTCTCCCAGGCAGATACCGCGCTAACTTCCTTTTCTCCCACCAAAGATAGCTTTAATGATACCTTTCAGTTCCTCTTCAATAAGAGTAGAGATTTCTATGTTTACTTATACTTGAGCATATTTACATATTCACACACTCATTTCAAACATCTGACTTTTAAAATTCAAGCTCAGGAGCACTCAGTGGATTTCTCATGTCATGCCGCTGGAAAGCCGTTGGTGGTGGTTGTGAGGGTCTGTCCTCAAGTCCCCAGTGAAGGGGTAAAGGGCCAGTGATTCCTCACACAAACTTGGGAGATGGGTGGGGGCACAGGGAGTATTATCTTGGGCACATTTCCTTGCACTTGACTTTCCTTAGCACCCCCCTGAAGATCTGCTGGCCTTTCTCAGTGTCTCATGCGTGCATTTGTTGCTAGGGTGGAAACACTCTAGAAAGACTTGGCTGAGTCTCCGCCATTGGCAAGTGCAGGCATACTATTCCCCATGCATACTACCATAAACTTCTTTTAATTTGCTGGTTGGTTAACTTCAAGTGAGCTGCTAAAAGGGTGAAGGAAGACTGAACACTGCTATGTATTGACTTCTAGAAACTTCCTTATATCTCACCAGGACATGACTCCTAGTTTTATTTTATGATTCCCTCTGTTGCTTATGTGGTATACTTACACTTGATAAAAGGGGACCAGCCAAAGCTAATACATTTGTAGTCATTATCATGGGCTGAGATCAAAGTCCAAAGTTGCTTCATTAAACATATGCAAATGCAACTTGTAGGAATATCAGCATAAATTTCTGCATGAGTAAGAGCAAATATTCCCCCATGAAACTAACATTCTAATCACCTCTAGGATTTTTTCTATAAGACTGAAAATTTATGGTATAATTTGAGAATCCTGAACTAAAAGCAGTCAAATGCAGGTTTATGATAATCTTGAAATGTTCTGTTTGCTTTTGGATGAACATATACACTGCCTATTGTCTGTGTAAGTCCCAATTGTTACACAAAATAACAACAGACAAACCCCAATGAACAGACCACTCTTTGTGGCCTTGTCTTCCTGGAAAGAATTATGAACATGAAGTGTCAGTGCCCAGTCTATTCAGCAACCAGGAGACAGCGCCTGCTGTCAGCTAGTCGGAGGTCTCCACGCCTGCACTGCACTCAGCTGTTACAAAGAACTCTGCTCTCCTCTCCTGTTTCCTACACGCCCCCATCACAGTTAACAGATATGTTTTCATAGACTGCCTGCCCTCCACTGATTGGCTATTTGAGTATCATCCAATGAAACACTGAACTTGAAAATGACCATTTGCATTTCCTGGCTCTGCCAGGGTGGCTGAGCTTTTTGCTGAAATGCCCATGAGGTGCCCACTGAGCCAGGAAGGGGAGGACCACTCCATCCATCCAGGGCCCCTGATGTCCCCTGGCCATGCTGCTGTTGAACTGGTTCCCATTCTTAGGCAGAGTCCAGTCTCCTGGAATCTGGACTTAGAGGAAACCCCCAGCCTCACTGCTCTGACACTGTATTTTCCTCTCTAAAGTGGGGACAACACTCCACAGTATCACTCAGAATGTCAGATAAGATACTGAACTTGGAAATGCTTTGAGAATTTTTAAGTATATACAGTTAATTAAGAACTATTTTCCTTAAGAACTATTTTCTCATAACATACATATTTCTCCCTTGTCTGTTTCCATTTAACTACCCGTAACAACCAGAGTCTATTCTGCGCATTTTTGTTAAAATAATTTATTTTTTAAAAAAATACATACTTGTATTTAATGCTGAAAGACCTGGATGTTACAATTTTTCAGTCCACTGTGATCCTGTTGTTATTAGGAGGTTAGATTAGTAAAGACTCTTCTGAGCCACAGACTGTAAACATAAAATTATGAAGAATCTCAGCATAATATGGATGCAGAACGGTGCTAATGAGAATACAGCTCTGTGGGGTTGCATCTGTCAAACAAAGCCATAAGTTGGTGCTTTGGTTTGACCTTCTTTGTGGGCTGATCACAATGGCCAACATGAAAACATTTCTACACAGGTAATAAGTTTCCCCAAACTCAGTTCAGCCATTATCTTACAGGGTTTTCATTACCCCAGTGTGCACATTGAATTTCTGTCTGGCTCTGTCCCTTCTGCATTTCTCTCATTCATCCATTCATCCATCCATCCACCCACCCACCCATCCATTATGTTGGGGGTTTAAAAGACAAAGCGATCCTACCCTTGAAAGCCTAGATCCATCATGGTGAGTGAATTGCATATGTCACAAGTGCTGAGACAGAGGGGTAGATCAGAGCTGCTCAGCCTCAGTATTGTTGATGTCTGTTATAGGCTGGAGAATTCTTTCATGTGGATGAGGGAGCAGGCTGTGGTGTGCATTGTAAGATGCTTAGCAGCACCTCTGGCCTCCACCCACTAGATGCTAGCAGCACTCCTTGAGATATGACAATGTCTAGACATTGTCAAGTGTCCCCTTGAAATCACCCCTGAATAAGAACCACTGATGTACAGAATAAAGATGGGCCAGCCCTAGCCTGTTTGGCCCAGTAGATAGATCATTGGCTGTGGACTCGGGGTCCTGGGTTCGATTCTGGTCAGGAGCACATGCCCGGGTTGCAGGCTTGATCTCCAGTAGGGGGTGTGTAGGAGTCAGAAAATTGGGGATTCCCTCTCATCGTTGATGTTTCTTTCTCTCACTTCCTCTCCCTTCATCTCTGAAATCAATACAAATACATTTAAAAAACAAAACAGATGGTCCAGAGCAAGGAGGAGTCAGATCATTCTCTGTTTAGCAAATAATTGCTACAAGTCTTCCCCATTAGGCACTGTGTTGGTTACTGGGACTGCAGCACTGTCCAAGGTGGGAATGAGTCTGGTTCTCATACAGCTGAGGGGAGGGGAAGGGTGTGGAGAGAAAGTCTACGGTGGGGAGAAAGAAAGGAAAAGGTGGGGAGAAGGGTAGTGTCAGTTGTCTGTGCATCCAGAATGATTTCTATGTCTAATGACATTTGAACTGAGTCTTGAAATATGTGTGGGTAGATGTTTACCAGGTCCTAGTGGTGTGGGTAAGGGGTCCCAAGGCAGAGGTTGAAACAGCTAGCTATATTTAGAGAATGATGGGCAGACACTTGGTAAAGCTAGGGCACAGAGTATATATGTGTGTGTGCGTGCGCGCGCGAGCATATGAGTATGAGTGTGGGTGTGGGGGGTGCAGAATTCAACAGACCTGGCTTCAAATCCCTGCTCCAATACTTCCTGGGGTGTGACCTTGGGCGAGTTACTGTAAAATAAGCATATAATAGTATTATATGACACTGGATTTTTATAAAGACTTAAGTTAAAGCACATGATATGCTGGGCACAGTGCCAGACACAGGATAAACACAATAAATACTGCATTTAAAAAAACTATCAGAGGGTCTTCTTTTTTGGAAAAGTTAGTAGCATTATTTCCTTTTGATAAAAAAAATTCTTTAAAAATACATATTATTGATGTTTTTACAGAGAGGAAGGAAGAAGGAGAGAGAGCTAGAAACATTGATGAGAGAGAAACATTAATCAGCTGCCTCCTGCACACCCCTTCCCCACTGGGGATGCGCTTGCAACCAAAGTATATGCCCTTGACTGGAATCAAACCTGGGATCCTTGAGTCCGCAGGCCGACAATCTATCCACTGAGACAAACCGATCAGGGTATAAATAAATTTCTTTTTTTGTTTAAATATTATGACTTGGTTTATTTGGTCACAAAAATGTCTTTAGGCAAGTCCAATGTTTGGAATCTTGTGGCTAATTTCTCAACCTTTTAAATAATGTCCATTTAAACAAATGCATTCATTCTATATTTCTCCCTTGATTAGATTCTTCTTCCTGTTTGTTTTTTCTTTGCAAACACCTTCGTGGCATTTTTGTGTGTTATTACCTATGAATTACAGCCTTCTGCTCCTATAAAAATAAAATTTCAGACAATTCATGTGAAGTTTTGAAATTCCTCCACTCATTTCCTGGGCTGAAATGCAGAATAGCTATTTGTTTTCACTCTCTTAGAAAGTGTAATTGTTAGTCTAATGGCAATCATAAACTCTAACCCCTGTTACGTGGGTTGCAAATACGTGTTGGGCTCCTTTTAGGCAAGGTAGACTACCTGGAGGAGGCTTTTCAGGAGTTGGGTTCAAAGGTCAAGTGGAATAATCCAGCCAGAAAGCAGGGAACCAGGAGGAGCTCCAGGCATTTGTGTCCAGTGCTCGTGGGAGGAGAGAGGGAAGAGGCAGGAATAGGAGGCACAGTAGTTTACGGGGCGGTAGGAATAGTGTCATAGTGTGTGACTTCAAACAATAGAAATTTATATTCTCGTGGTTCTGTGCAGTGCTTGGAACTCTCACATCATGCGAGATGAACATGACTTGAGGGTCCACAAAAGGAGGGGTAAGGGGTTGTGCCTCCATTCTGCTCTCTAGCTACGGGCTTGGAGCAAGTCGCTCTCTCTGCACCTTGGTCTCCACATCTGAACCATGCACCCACTGGGGTATGGGTGAGCCTTTGGACAAGGAGCAATCACTGACCTGGTGTGTAGGGTGGCAAGCGGGCAAGGTGGTGGTGCGACCAGTGACACAGGACAGCTTTCAGATGGTACTGCCTGAGGAGA